CTTCCAGACTTGTAAGATAGGACCCTGTTTTTGGCTTTGACACAGTTAGCTCAGTGCACCTGTTGTTTTCTTCCTTAGTTGTTCCAGCCTTCTGTAGACCTTCTCTGGCAGTAAGCACAATCTAGTGAATATTTATACAGGCCAGCAGATCCTAGACTATCTGCTATCAATGTCTAAACAAATGTGACCAAAGACTCATTCTGAAAGCCAATGTAATTCTGCTTTACAGGATACTATGCTTGGGGAAAAAAACACCTTTTCCTTCCATGTTAGAATTTAAAATGTAAAAAATTTTGAACGATTTTTGTCAAATGCTGGTAAGTATCTTTGGGTACATCTACACTACAGCGGGGAGTCGATTTAAGATACGCAAATTCAGCTACGTGAATAGCGTAGCTGAATTCGACGTATTGCAGCCGACTTACCCCGTTGTGAGGACGGCGGCAAAATCGACTTCTGCCGCTTTTTGTCGGCGGCGCTTACTACCACCTCCGCTGGTGGAGTTAGAGCGCCGATTCGGGGATCGATTGTCGCGTCCAGACGGGACGCGATAAATCGATCCCCGAGAGGTCGATTTCTACCCGCCGATTCAGGCGGGTAGTATAGACCAGACCTTAGACACATGAAAAGCAGTTCTGAGACTTTCCACTACACCCTAGGGCCTATTATTGGCTCATCCCAGAAACAATAAGTAATGAGAGAACCGGAAAAAAATTGTTTTAGCTCTGCTGAGCAGTCAGAACCTAGATTCTGCTTAGGTGAACTATCTAAAACTCCCAGTCTTATAAAACTGGGATAGAAATATTTTGAGATTTAGGTGCAGTAAAGTTTTTGAGATGTTTAACCACAATGCTGATGCTTAACAAATAATTGTTTTTTTTATGCCCAGTGCACATTGGATGCAAACTGCAAAATATTTTGTCTGAATTCTAATTTCAATCACGGTATCAAGAATCCACAGGAGACTAAGGACATGCAGATGCAATATATTCCTGCATTCTAGACAATCGTCTATCTAAGATTCAATATATTCAGTATTCAATATAAGAGAATTTGAGGAAAGCATCCTTTTAAAAAAATTGCTCCATCAATACATGGCATTGGCAAACCTAGATTGATAGCTGAGGTTAATGACTAGGGAAAGAATCACAACTGTGGTAGCAGCAAGTTCTTTGTTGCAAATTCTGCAAGCACATCTGCTGCTGTTCAGCGTATCAACTCAATTAGGATAGTGAATGAGAAAATGCCAAAGAAGAAATTCTGAGCAATACACACTGTTGACTTGGGATGTTGTCCATTTTCTACTTTTAAAAAAATTATAATTATTTTTAAGAAAAACACTAAAGCGGTCTTTCCGAAGAACAAGCTACAACCCATCTACCTTGGATTTAAACCGATTATTATTTCTTCAGTTTCTCCTGTGCTGCTAGATAATTTTGTATTTCAAATCAATAGTCTGTTTTGCCTCCCTAATGAATCTCCCCGATAGAGTCTTTTTGTCCATTTAAAATATTTTTAGCTTGCTATTAAAACGGATAGAGACAAGATATGGACAGGAGAGCGGGCAATACAGATTTCTGTCCAGCACATTCCTAATTCTTATCAAAATGCATTGTGTTGTTATACATAGTGAATTTTTTTTTGGATATCTTTATACACCTGTGTAGATAAACTGTTCCTCTTCATTGAGATGTGTATACATTGCAGTAACAGACAAATCTTTCAAATTTGTGACGGGTTGGGTGAGGTAATATCTTTTATTGGCCCAGCTTCTGTGGATGAAAGAGATGAGCTTTCAAGCTACACAGAGGAGCTCTTCTTCAATACTCTTCTTGCCTCTTTCACCCACATAAGTTGGTCCAATAAAAGATATTTCTTCACCCACCTTATCTCTCTAATAGCCTGGGAGCAACACGGCCACACCACCACTGTAAACAAATAATCATGTGCACATCCGACCTTGGAACCTCACTGAAGCTGTCCAGTTCTGCTAGTCTTATCTAAATACAGTAATACCTCCTGTCCTAAAACGACTTCTGTTTTTTCCTCTGGGAAACTTTTCTTAAAACTGAGACACTTGAAAACTACAAGTATTGTATCTTCAATACTCAGGGAATAAATGATTGAATCTGCTCTGTTTCTTCAACAGGATGATGCATGTGAAAAGAACTAGCAGCACCTGTAGAAGCTACAATCATTTTACCCTCTTTGAAACTTTGAAGAGACATTTATAATACAAAAAACTAACAAAGAATTTGATCCTGCTACACTGGAGTCAATGGGACTTTTGTTATTGATTTAAAAGAAAGAAGGATCGGGCCCACAATGCATAAAAAGATGAAAATATTAACTAATGTCTATAGGTGAAGGCTAATTGGTGAGTTGGCAAGATTTTGAAACTGATCTTCTGCACTTTCTTTAAATTCAAGTGTGTTTCTTTCTAGTCGAAGTACCATGAGAGGTTAAAATGAATTAATCTTGAGTAGCAGCAAAGAGTCCTGTGGCACCTTATAGACTAACAGACGTATTGGAGCATGAGCTTTCGTGGGTGAATGTCCATGCTTCCGACGAAGTGGGTATTCACCCACGAAAGC